CAATATGGCTGTGTAACACTAGCATCTAGTCTGGACACGCTGTTCTAGGACACTGCTCGTCATTGGTTGTCTGATGGCATTTGCAGGTTCATTTAACTCCGTCTCAGTTACACAGATCAGGTTCTTCCACAACAAGACAACAAGTGGTCTCCCCTCTAGTCTAAGAGCAGACAAATGGAGGTTATTTCAAGGAGACAGAAACCATTTTTTTTTTAAATGAACTTGTTTCTTCCACTTCTTTAGCGGTGCCATGAGATAGTAACAAGAAAGTGCAGTGCCTCTAATACTGTTGGGTATGTTTGTGGAAAAGTGTGAGCTGCACGCCAACTTATTAAGTGCAGTTTAGCGAACAGCGGGGGCTAAAAGTAGATACGGAAAACGCACATTGTTCTGCCCGGCTGCTCTACAAAGGGAGGAACACTTGATGAGCTGCTAAAAGAAGAAAGGCATGGGATTAGGTTTTAGGAATGGAGCTGGAAAACAATAACAAAAAAAAAAAAAAAGGAGCCAGGAGTGAGCGAATAAGCTTATAATTGGTAAAAACGTACAGGGAGGGGATTGTAGGATGTAGAAGAGAAGTAATTTGGTTCAAAGTTGGGTATTATTAAGACCCCCAAACTCATCAACTTTTCATTCAGGATTTGGCTGAATGCTTACTTGCTGTAGGTGCCAATTGTAGGAATGAACTTGCATTTTTCCTTAACCAGTTGTATGAGATTAGAAATAATGCAATGAGGAAAGTTTGTGCTGTCTACATTTGGACGTCTCTCATAACTTACCTACTAGCACTGCTTAGTATCCCCTCTAGTTTACCGGAAAGTACAGCGCGATAATATGTTGATGTGCACACAAAGGTCACATGCTCCGGTCAGAATTGAGCAAGGGGGATCTTGAGTTTCTCCATGATGTCACAGCATCTGTTGCATGCCAGGCGTGCCACCCTGGAACCCGCTGTTTGCCTGCCAGCCAACTTCAACACTCTCGTAGACATACAAGCACACACAAGCAGGCGTGAGCACACAAGTGGACATGCACTCTGTCAAATGATTCAGCTAATTCACCTGACAGGAGGAGCAGGAGTCAAATGATTAAAAGCTTGTTTGTGGAGGCTGATGCTGGTGACAGACTGGGCTGTCGTCCAACACCTTTCCAGTAGCTTCTTCCCCTGAAGAGACTGATCTAGAATAATCAGGGCCAAGAATGCTGTTTTATAGTTGTTGGATCCAGCTTCGATTGAGAGTAATGACCAGGTGGAACAGCTCCAAGCTTGTTCAAGACAGCATTTAGATTGTTCGGGGCGCAACTGCCTTTGTAAGAATGCAGCATAACAAACATTAAGTAATAAGGCAACCGAACAGAGAGTCTCAGCAGTTGACAGGGTGAATTTTATGTTGTTTTTGTTTCTTTCTTTCTCTGCTCTAGCTCCTTGAGCTTATTGCCAAATCCCAGCTCCCCTCGCTCAGCGGAGTGGCGCAGAAAAACTACATGAATATTCTGGAGAGAGTGGTACAGAAAGGTGAGGCCCGTCGCTCTTCTATTGCGCTTTTTAAAGTCACTCAACTAGTGTGCCTCTCAATTTCTCTCCTTCTTTATCCAAGGGTTTTGTCTATCTGCTGTGCCCTCATTTTTTTTATTGTTGGATTAAATATATAGAGAGGTAGAATCCTTATCTATCTTACAGACACTAACACACAATATTAATAGAGCAAAGATGAAGCCTTCCTGCTCTGTTGTTTGCACCGATAGGTGAGGAAATGAGCCCTGACCACGTCTAAAGAAGGCCAGGGAGTGAATTTGGTGTTTTAATAGCACAGTGAAAAACACTGACAGTCACCAGACCCCTCTGCAAGCCACAGTGTAAACTAAATGTTCCCACTGCTAAACAGAGATTCAGGTTGTTTAGGTTGCATTATGAAACCTGTTGGACAAATATTATGAGTGTCACAGGAGGGGAGTATAGCTACTCCAAAACATTTGCTTTAGTAATGTGCTTTTTGATTATTCACAATAAATATTTCACTGTTTGGCTGTTTGCCTGGTAGCGACTAATCTCTCTAACACCCTCGCTTTAAAATCTCATCTTTAGGTCATGATTGGAGTAATAAATTGAGTTCAATGAACGTCTTCTAATTTTCTCCTCAGTTCTTGATGACCAGCAGAACGTTCGTACCATCAAGGAGCTGCTGCAGACGCTCTACATCTCGCTGTGCGGTCTTGTTCAAGACATGGGCAAGTCTGTCCTGGTGGGGAACATAAACACCTGGGTGCGCCGTATGGAGAACATCATGCAGTGGCAGCAGCAGCTGGACAACATCCAAATCAACAGGGTAAGTGTCTGCCCAAAATACGGGACGAGGAGCTGGATTCACAAAACTACGAAAATGTAGGGACTTCTATGCACATTCACGACTTTTTGTGCCTCCTGTTTCCTTCAGCCCACATCTATAGGCATGACTCTGACTGACCTGCCTGCCAGTCTGCAGTTGAACATCATGCAGCGTCTGTCGGATGGCAGGGACCTGGTGAGCCTGGGCCAAGTGTGTCCCGAGCTGGGGGCCCTCGCTGAGGACCGGCTGCTGTGGAAGAGACTCTGCCAGTACCACTTCACAGACAGACAGGCATGTAGAACTGAATGGATGATCGTTAATTGTGTATTGTGTATTACTCATTTGCACACATGGTAGGTTAGTTCCTCATTGTTCTTACACTGTGACACTGTTTCAGATGGCCTAAAATCACTCAAGGAGGTCAAGCATCTCTGATAAACAAGACTCGCTACTGAAAAATAGAAGGCTGCCTTGTGTGTAGACTGACACTACAGTAACCTAGCACCATGCTCAAAGCATGCACTTGATAAGCAGTCTCAGGCTTTAAACTAAAGTAGGTTACAGTGAAGCTTTCCTACAGGTTAGAGTTATGATTTAGTTTGAGCTGGGGGTGGGGGAAACTCTATCCATTAATACTACTCATCTTTTGACTAGTAACTTTGTGTGTAGTAGGGAAATGGAGTACAAAAGAAAAAGTATCAAGAAAGCTAACTTTAAAGTAGATATAAGTAGTAAGTATCTTTTTTTCCTTGGGTCATGCCTTGAAGTTTGTTTTCTCTTCTTTAGATCCGAAGGCGCCTGATGGTGTCAGATAAAGGTCAGCTGGAGTGGAAGAAGATGTACTTTAAGCTGAGCCGCTGCTATCCTCGCAGAGAACAGTACAGTGACACTTTGCACTTCTGCACACACTGCCACATCCTTTTCTGGAAGGTAGTGTATTTGTATTTTTTATTTTTTTCTCTCGTTCACCTTGCACTTGAGCAAAATGGATATGAAACTAACGTGTCAGTAAAGCTGTGCTTAAAACAGAAACCCCCCTATTTAATATTGATTGATGTTTCTTTTCACAGGACACAAACCATCCTTGCACAGCCAACAACCCGGAAAGTTGCACCACATCCCTCTCCCCCCAAGACTTTATCAACCTTTTCAACTTTTGACACCCCCGCCTCAAAATCCAGATGAACTGACTGTACATACTGTACATAGAAATGTACAATATTGTTTATGTTTAATAGCACAATTAATTCCTGGATGTGTATTTTGTTGTTGAGGTGTACTGGAGGAGGCTCAGGCAGGGACAAATATGCAATTGAGTATCTTTAGAAAGAGTGCAGAGGCTTCTTGGAGAGTTCAGTGTTGAAAGTTAGTGAACGTGACCGAGTGGAAAAGAGATGTGGGGGCACTCAGCCTGTGGGTGGAGAAGTGAAGAGCTGTTTAGTCTTAGTTTAATGTTTTATGAAATTTACACCACCAAAGTACACATGAAGTTTGGCACTGGGACGGAGCCTAAATCTTAGAGTACCAAAGAAGAGATAATGCAAGTGGAATTTGTAATTGATCATTAGACTGTCTGATGTGTTGACACACCACAATGTTTTCTATTTTTCCATGTTGTTTTTCCACTTTTATAAAGATTTGATATGACTTTTTTTTATTATTTGTGTGTTCATTGTCTGCTGTGGCTGATATAGCACCAGCACTGAGTGCAGTATTACCAAAGATATCAAAGTCAGTATAACAATGGTGTGTGTGCCTTTTTTATTATGAAACTTGAAATCGGTACGGCTTAATCCTTGTTAGCAATGTTTTCATATCCCAATGCTGTTTTGTGTTTTATTTTTTTCAACAAATATCTCATTTACAGAAGTGTGCTGTTTTAGATCTGAGACTCTGATACCAAAGTTGACTGTCTGAAACATCTTATTTTTCTGAAGCCTCCTGCATGGTTTTTATTTAGACACCCAGCTGAATGTGTTATTTATTTATTGTGATTCTGGCAAGTGGCTCAACTTGCACTATTGGGTTTGAAGGGATGGATATATTGGTATTAAGGTGCAATCTGACCCAGACTCCATCACTGCTCAGACGGTGAGGAATGATGTACATGCTATGCAATGCATTCTGTTTATGTTCTGTTGAATAAATAAAAGAAAAGTTATCTTTATTCTGCCATCCATTCGATGTAGTCATCACACCTTAATGTGACTCAGCACACACTGAAGTATGACAATTTTCTTCAGTTATAATGCACACTGGCTTCTTGCTAGAAGTTTGCCTGCTCTCTATTGGACAAATTATGAATTGCACAGTAGTAGTTAAAACAAAAAGAATCTTGGTATGGGTACAACAACAAACTAACTGAGACAGTTTTCACCGCTTCATACAAGGGCAGATAATTAGAAAACGGGGATTAGATGATGAAACACAAAGCTAAGGCTCTCTAATGAAAAAACATAAATGACATTCTTAAAAGGAAAAATGCCTCACCTTGCTCGTACTACGCTGGTAGAGGAAACAGACTACATTAAAATGCAAGTGGACCTCTCCAGAGTCATTAAACCAAAACGAACTTCAGGGCATTAGTCTTAATTAGACTGGCCTGCTGTATATTAACACCAGGGTTGAGCTCTGTTTGATCAACAACAAACACTGTTCACAGGAATCCAAATGTCATTTTCTCAAACAATTGTTTTAATCATTGCAGTAGGACAAAGACGGAAGTTAAAACAAAATTTAAAAAAGCAAATGTAACTCATTTTTGCATGATACTCAGACAGTATAAACAATGTAATTCACTGATGCTTACACAATGTTTTTAAAATAAATAATATGTATACAAAATTATGTATTTTCTTTATGATTTAGCACATAAGTCATTGTAAGTGTGTGCGTCTCCCACTGCAGCATTGCACATACAGTACTGACCTGCTCCTCAGGTTGTATAGGTAGCTTTTACAGAGTAGTTCAACATTTGAAAGCATGACGTGTGTGACTGGCAAAGGCATGAATGATACAGCTGTCAAAGCAATAATACACAGACATAATTTTAAGGCCATACAAACAGGTAATGCTACCCACAAAGAGAGTACTATACTGATCACAAATGCAAAAAAAAAAAAGTCATCCTCGTCTTCCTCATTAACCCAAATACAAATCTGCTGGTTTAAGGCAATATTGCCCGTCAGTTTTACATCAAAAACGTGCAAGTGTAATGTTGCCTTGACTGCAGAAAAAGAAGGCAATGTTAACAGTACATTCCCATCTTTTTTTTCTGAGATAAAACATTTGAATTTCTTTGAATTCCTATCTATCTAAAGCTGCATTACTACTTTTATAGCTAGCTACATGGCTAGCTAGCTAGCTACCACGCTACTCATTTTCTTCAATAAACCCCCCCTCCTCCATTTGTTTTTACTACAATCATGCAACATATCTACAGTTTGTGCCTCTTGAAACACATAATGAGCACCAATAACAACGTTCTGATTTGAACTCCTGCTATAGGAGTCACCAGTGTTTGACATTACAGAAGAGTTACATCTGTTCAAATCAAAGTTATGAAGTTTGTTGCATATTGTCATTACATTGTTTCCTAAAAAAATAGTGTGCGTGTTCCTCCTGCATCCCTTTTCAGCATCTCTTCCACAGTATGCTAAGATATAAAATGAGAGCAAAGGAAATGTAGGGTAGTAATACTATATTTGAACCAGTAAAGTCTGGCGGGCTCATGATGTTGAGCTCTTGACAGCAGCACCCTTTAATTTTAAACCTTCTTTTTATTCAACAGAAAAGGTTGTTTTACACATGGAAGGAAACTGTTGTTTTCTCCTCACCTGCTTTAATTAGAATAGTTGTTAATGGGTTATTGAGTACTTTAGTAAGCATTGAGCTACCCCTACCAGACTTTAACCAACAACCTTTAAATCCAATGCTAACATGCTTTGATAACCATTCAGCTTTGGCAGCATTTCAGTGTCTGAGCTCTCAGTGCATGCGCTCCAGAGGTGAGAGAGGCAGTGTGGGGTGAAAATCCACAAAACCTCCCAGACGATATAAGTACCAACTGCAGAGGATCCCGAGATGCTGAGAATCCACAGTGGTGTATGAGGTGTAGCCAGGGAAGGTACTGTACTGTAGAACTGCACTCCTGTGTATGCAAACAAATGATCGCTGAGCATTATGTGACACATGCATACACAAATGTAAGAGATGTAAGAGAAACTAAGAGATTTTGGTGGCTTTGAGAGAGCAAAAACAGTGGTGTGCTTGTAATAATCTGGTAAGACTTAAAGACAAATTTGCAAAGGAAAGCAAAGAGAAGAGTTACCAGAGTTAGTGAATATCACAGAGAGGTATGTTCAGAGTTCTGAATAATCCACTCAATAGCATCCCAACCCTACAGATTCACACAGAGAAACAGATGATTAAAGAAGAGACAAAGGCCATACACAGAGATAGGCAGGTGAGCGCCGCTGGAAACATTAGACTGTAATGTCCAGTAAACTCACCTAACATTACACATTACAGTCAGAGACATTACAGTCCCAGTTAGATGGCATGCAAAGAAATAATTAGAAATATCTTCATTACTTGCATTGGCGATCAGACTACATGCAAAAGATGCAATAAGTGCATACATCTAAACGTACAGTTTTTATTTTGTGTTACCTTTCTGGCATTAGCTGACATTCTCCTAGCCATCATCCCCTCCAAGTAACTGCTTAGACTCACTCCCTTGACTGTAATGATGGCCTCCTGGGTCAGGACGGTACTAAGAGAGAGAGAGAGACAGAGAGAGAGAGAAAGAGAGAGAGCGAGATAGAGATGAACAAATAGTATAACAGTAAAGCCGAAAGAACTAGAGTGTTCAGCTCACTCTGGCTCGTATCTCTGTGCACTGTTACATTATGAAAACAGGCTACACACACTCCGTACCAGGAAATGTGTTCATGAAATGAAATGCAAAGTTAATATAATAACTTACATTTGAATAAATTGTTAAATGTACTTACACGTCAGGGTTGTCTGGGTGTGGTGTGTAAAGGAGTCTCTCATCCACTGAAATCAGGTTGGTAAGAGTGATCTGGAAGATAAAATATGTTTGGATTTCCTTATTTATGGGATATTACATGGAATATTATGATGCCAACACAGTGAATACTATTGATTTTGAAATGGATTACAGTGTACCATAGTATTTCCTGTAAATTCTTTTTTTTATTTATTGTTTATGAACACTCCCATTTTGGAAAAAAAGTAACACCTTTTAGTGCATTATGATTGTATTCGATCCAATAGCAGCTGTAGATTTTATATGTTGAGGCTCACCATTGCTAAATTAACTGTGTAACTAATGCTGATTGTAGTCCTGGCAGGCAGATGGACTCGGTAAAAACTTACATTTGTTGAGCACAGCTCCATCTTTTTCTCCTCTGGGTCTACTATGGAATGTTCCTTCACATACGTCTGTGTATGGCTGGTTCCCAGTATCTACAAACACAGTAATACACAGTAAGTACAGTAAAACGAGCCCAAATAGCACTTGACATGTGTATGTGCATGTAACATGTATCACTTCTACGACACAATCTAGAAGCTGTTGTTTGTTCTATGCATTTCTATATGTGTGTGTGTGTGTGTTGACGACTGACCGCTCGCACAATGCCCGGGAGGCCCCACTCTGTGCTGAGGAGTCTGTGGCTGTGCAGGCGTCCCTCTTGATCCAGACTGCGGTCCAGCACGTCCACCCCGACCACGTTAGGGTTCATGGGATTAGGGTACTTCCTCATGGCAGCCTTGATCACAGTCTCCCATGGGTAACTGCACACAAAACAGTGCAAAATAATATGAATGGGAAGAAACACATCTTTGTTTGTTATGAATTTGTTTAATGATCTCCTCCTCCTCCTGTGACTGGGGAGGCTGTGGTTGTTGCTGACTTCTACTGATAAATGATCATGTATCATCCAGTACAAATGAGGCATATAATAATGACTCATCATCACTCTATTGGCTATAGTATAGAGCAGGTGGAATTTACAAACCAGAATCATATGGCTCCAGGGAGCTTGCTGTTTCCTCCTAAGGGGCATTGTGATGAGCTTCAGATTTTAATTAAATGGCACTCAGGTAATGAAGTTGAGGGTCCCATGAACCTAGCCTAACAATGCCAGACCAGTTCATTCTGCTTCTCTAAACATTAAACCCCAGTGTCACCAACCTGAAAACATGTTCCGTGCTCCAAATCTTCATTTTTTCAAATGGCAGTCTCGACCTTAACGCTTAAAAACACCTCCGTGAACCGCAACTAAATTTCATTTTCATATAAGGAACTAGCTCCAGTAATCGGACGGAGAGTAGGGCCTATGATGGACGCTCACGACCATCAGTGAAGTGAGTCCAGAGAGCGCATCTTCTTAGCAAAGCAAGACCTGAGGAAAGACTGCACAAAACGATCTGCTGATCCCCGTGTCCCAGGAGCAACAGTTAGAAAAACATGTAATTTATAGACAATAAATGGCTCGTGCAATAAAGGACAAGAGAGAAGCCGGTGCGACAGAGGAGCCACGTCAAGTCAGACAGAGTGAGGTATAGGCCTACAGGAGCCTGATCATGAATTTCAAAATAAAACCCTTTCATTGACCCGTTATGATTGCAATTTTTGTTCAACCGACATCTGATGGAGATATAGAGCCTACGGTTTTAGAAAAATACCGTTTGAGGCAATTACGTAGTTGTGACACTCTGTTAGGCAAGGCTGCACTTTTGAACAGTTGGGGATCAAAAGCGCTTTAAAACTTCACAATCACAATAAACAGCCTCTAAAATTCACTTTTTTTTTCTGGTTAACTCAACTGATATGCTAATGTTCCTTAATTATGTCTATTAGCCACGTAGCCTATAGCAAAAATGCACCATGATGCAACACTAAGAACCTTTGTATACCCAACAGGCCTAGCTGTTGTTTTTTGAGACAACAAACGTCTACTGTTTTACTTTGAAGGCAAGATCACAAGGTTTCCTCTGGTTGTGTCTGGTGACTTGGCGAAGCGATGCTGGCGCACCGCCTCTGTGTGTACGCATGCGCAAAGCATCTTTCCATCATCCCCCGTCAAGTGTCACCAAAGGAGCAGAACTGCGTCAAGCCAGACACAAACAACAAGAAGTAAGCAGGAAGCACCGTGACACGGCTTTCATTTGAAAAGATTGGATTTGGAGCACTCAAAATAATAATAATAACTTGAACACAGCTCCAACTGCAGCAGTAAAACACATCAATTAGCGTATTATTGACAAAACCCCTCGCGCTGTCATTTAAGTTTCAACTTTAAGGATCTTATTTAATTAAGTTACGTGATTTAATTACAAATAAACGTAACTGCAAACGGGAACAGTTACCTGGGAAAATGTTTAGCCTAGCCTAATTAAATTGAAGTTTTTCTGAAAATGTTGCTGATTAGGCTACATTAGGGGTTACATCTGAATATTTTCTGTAAAAGCTAGGCTGCATGTTGCGTAATGATTAAATTTGTTGCTATGGATGTTTTTCATGTGCACATTGTGCTAATTCCTTTGCCATTTCCAGCCACAGATGTTTAGGAAAGATAGATGCTATTCTGAGGCTTTTGATTGGCTTGAAAGCAATTGAGTAACATAAGGAGTAACGTATAGTTAGCCTACTTTTACCACCCAGTAATGGTAAAGTAATATTATTACTTTTTAAAGGAGTAATAAGTAACTATTAAAGAGGTGGTATTATGCTCATTTTCAGGTTCAAAATCTTAATTAGGGATTATACTAGAACAGGTTTACATGGTTTCATTTTCAAAAAACACCATATATTTCTCATACTGCACATTGCTGCAGCTCCTCTTTTCACCTTATGTGTTGTACGCTCTGCTCTTGAGCTACAGAGTGATGCATCTTACTTGTACAAAATCTTTGTTGGGAGTTGCACATGCGCAGTTCCCAGGTAAGGACTACTAGCCAATCAGAAGCAGAGAAGGGCGGGTCATAAGAAACAAGGTAGTGTGATCCAAATCAAAGCTGCTTCAGACTGCGACCTTAACAGATGGTATAAGTTACTCACAAGTCCACAACCACACAACTTACCATAAACTACTACAAAAATCACCATATTTCAACTCAATTTTACATAAAAATTATTATTATAGCTATAACTTTAGCTGTGTTAGCCAACGTTTACAACAACTCCACACTTGAACAGTGTGTGAAGTTACATTGCCGTGTTTATTTTAAATATAATTCACAACCAATAAAGCATACTTACAGGTTATGATTGTGAATTTCCAGGCCCAAACAGAGTCGGAGTTGCATCGTCTTTTAGGACTAAACATTGAACTGTTGCCGGTGTTCTGACGATCTATGCTGCCTTGCCATAGCGCAAATCGATAGACTCGACTCTACTCGGCCCTGCTCCGTTTTCCATTGCAGGTAGTACCCAGAGATAGCTTGTTGTCATAGTGACGCCACATACAACTGGTGCGACGTAATGTTCAATGCCACACACACACCAGCGATCCACACAGCTTTCTCTTTTTTAAGATAAAACGTTTCAACATTACTCAGAATAAAGACAGATAATCGGTATGAAAACCTTACAGCTGTGTTTTCCTCTGCCGTTGTTGCTGCAGCGGTCTGTGTGACGGCGGGAGCAGAGGGCTCTGTGAGCGGGCGGCTGGCCGGCCTCACGCTCCTCACGCAGGTTGGCACAGGCTTCCCCCGCAGCCACTTGCGGAGCTCCTCAACTCCGAAAATATTCAAGAACATTTTTGTTCTGCCATCACTTCTCCTAAAACTGTCAATATTCGAAATCTACACAACTGATTTCTCACCTCAAAACTTCTCAGAAGTGGATTTAGTGATGAAATTGCATACGAAAACTGTAAAATATAAAACTTTCTGTTGCTGGCCCCTGTCTGGCGCAAGCAATGATGATGCAGTGAATAGTGAATATTCTCTCTGACCAATCGCTTGGAACCTCGGTGGAGGTAATTGGAAGCAGGTACAGGTTCAACATTTCTACAATGGAAAACCAAACAAAGGTGAGTCGAGCCAAAGGGCCTCCGCTCAGACTAGCTTGGTTAGAGGGCATGCCTGACCCCCGCTAGCTGCTTGGCAAGCTTTATGACGCGTTTTCATTGTGACATCACAAGTAAAGGAAGTGAAGGGCTGGACTACAAACGAGCTGTTTTCAAGCAGTTCAGAGCAGAGTTTTCTGTGGGAGATGGGAACTCCCTTTGGGCTGGACTTTGGGCTTTTTCACTTTGCAAACCTGTTACATGAACAAAAAAGATATATAACTCAATAATGGAGAGGGGAAAAGCCAAAAAGCATAATACCACCTCTTTAACTTATTACAATTTCTGAGTAACTTGCCCAACACTGCCCAACGCTGAGTTTCATAAGGAAATAAAACAAGTGTGTGATTGAACTAGGCCTATTCATGTTATTACACCCTATTGTTTTGTACTATTCAAACGATTGTTATGACCGTGAAACATTAAGTATTGGGTAGGTCTACACTCACAGTTTCTACTGCTGCACGAAGAAAAAGTGAGTCGGTGCTGTTTTTATTTTGAAAGTTTGATCGGAAGTGTACGGTGTATTCTCTTTGCCTTGCTGGTGGCGTTGTGGGATCAGAAGAGGAATTCATTAAAGCAGACGCGCGGTGGAGGCTATAGTGTGGTCCCTTAACGAAAAATTCATGCCGTCGCCGCCTATTCAGCGGCCCGTTTATTTCATGCTGGATACGGAGCAATTGATCAATTTATAGAAAACAAGCTCAGTCGATTACAGACCGGGATAACGCACACTGCATGACCTTGCACTGAATGTCATTATAGACGGATTTTTTTTTAAAGCACAGACACGGTAAGCATCTCCATTCGCTCGGGGAAGAAGGCGAGACCGATGTCGATATCGTGGACCTACTGTATGTTGCCGGTGTGCAGTCTTGATTTTGAGACCATTTATATTTTATGAACAGTAGCCTAATCATGTTGTTTTACGGCGTGACGAAAAAATAAAACTGGTAACAGGACTGCTTGATGTGCCTAGGCCGGACTGCATGCCGCAGAATGCAAATTCGCCATTAATATTGTTTGTAACCCGGAATATGTTAGCCTGTCACGTTCAGACATAAAATATACACATGTATTCAAACACTGGTGTATAGTATAATTCTCAGAGCAGTTTGTGCGGAGAGCGCGTGCAGGAAAGGCAGATGCTGCAGCAGCGCCTGATCTGTTCCAGGCTGGGGGGGGGGGGGTCATCCTTGTAGGATCATTAAATCACACAGTGTGTCTGACTGTACACTATGCGTCAGTCTGGCACTGTATAGGAGATGACCCATTTCAATGTGAAAGTGGGGCACGAGGCATATCCCTTTATTGTAAGGGCCACCAGGTTGGCTGCTGGTCGTGCTCAAGCTAAAAATCTGCTGACACATGCGCTGTGCCGGCCGGTGCTCCCAGCCTTTGTGCGCAATGAAGCCTATAGCACATCAATCATGGCCTGGTCACAGATTCTCATGGGCTTAAAACTGGTCTTCTGTTGGCCTGGGTTCGTTTCATGTAGGGCTTTATGCTAGTTAAAGATTAACAATGCTAAAATAATTAATACAATGGAATTATTATGATGTTCCAGTTAAATGCATGGCCAGGTTGACATTGTTGATTAAAAGCTGAGAGTTTAGAGGCCTCCATTCTCACACCTGTCTCTTTAATTTCAGGTCACTGACCACAGCCATGGAGATTGTCACACATTTAATTAATGACACAATAGAATTCTACAAATGGACCCTAACTATTGCAGGTAATATAACCTTGTATTTTTGTCATGTCTGAGAGTCAGTGTAAGAGATCTTTTTGAGAGAGGTGCTATTTTCCAAGTCACTAAATACACATGTTCTTCTATGTGCACTTCTATACGCTATGTGCATATCTAGGTTTTTACTGACCCGCTTTTCAATAACTGAACTGGAATCCGTAAGCCTACATGACATCAGTGATAAACTATTACTACAATTTTGATTCACCTGCAAAATCGATGTAATGAAAAATGTTTTATTGATGGATACTCCACCTTTTATCTCATAAAATAATTAAAATTCACCCTAATATGTAATATTCTGAAAGTATCACATGCACCATTAAAGGAGGTCATCAAACAGACCTCCAGACGGGTCACCTCAGGACAAAATCTGGCATCTGTACTCGGCACCTGATTGACCTGCACTCCCCTTAAAATAAACTGACATTGAACCCACACTGTGTCAGTGCAATGCGAACATTTAGAACAGTTATGTAATGCTACAAGAACATCTGTCCCACAGACAAGCGAGTGGAGAAATGGCCTCTGATGGACAACCCCCTTCCCACACTGGCCATCAGCACCTCCTACCTGCTGTTCCTATGGCTGGGGCCCAAATACATGAAGAACAGAGAGCCCTTCCAGCTCCGCAAAACCCTCATTGTCTACAACTTCAGCATGGTCTTCCTCAATTTCTTCATCTTTAAAGAGGTAGGTCACTGTTAGAGA